GTTCACTGGACCAAATAAAAGTTCGTGTTTGGGACAGCTTTTTTTACTACTTCTTAAAGCTGTATTTTAATTTTATATTAAAAAATTATTTTAAGAAGCAATAAAAAAGTCATCTCAAATGAAGACTAACAAATTTTGACTATCAATCAAGAGATTATATATGATCATAAAAAAAAAAACAAAAAATCTGAGCTGGTTATTTATGTGGTCCCTCTAAAGATAATTGAGACATTCTGAGCTGCTTATATTGAACTTTTGCTTTCTATCTACTGAACTTCATCTTTAGAATGTTAGTTTCTGTGATGATTTTTCTTTATGTCGAAGTTAGGGGATTTATTTGTGGATCGATTATATATGATCATAAAAAAAAAAAAAAGAAATCTGAGCTGGTTATTTATGTGGTCCCTCTAAAGATAATTGAGACATTCTGTTGCAAAAGCTGCTTACATTGAACTTTTGCTTTCTATCTACTGAACTTCATCTTTAGAATGTTAGTTTCTGTGATGATTTTTCTTTATGTCGAAGTTAGGGTATTTATTTGTGGATCTATGTTTTAGAAACTGTGGAGAGTGGGTCATTATTTCTCAATTTATTTGGAATAATGGCTGCTATCAGCTATGAAAGCAATTATATTACGGCTTTTTGAGTTTCTCTTGTTCGTTTCTAGAAATTCCATCTGGAAATTTCTTATTTTTTAGGGACATAAAATAAAAAATAAAAAATAAAAAATATTTTTTAGGGAAATAAACTGTTTGTTTATGAGGAGATTTTCTGCCATTTGGCTGGACATAATGAGTTATGCTCCCTATGGCATTCTTTGACAAGCTAATTATGTTCTACTATGCACCCTTGTTCTGGATTGCTTCCAGGTTGTTGTATGAGAAATTATTCTGGGTGGGCGTCGAATTTAGCAATATATCTGGAGACCAACTAGAATGAACCATGTCAGCAATACCGAGCCACGGTACCAACGTGGCTCATTCTGATTAGTCTCCAGACGGCGTTCGACGTCCGCACAAAATAATTTCTCGTTGGATGAATACATTGAAGTTGATTTTTTGATACTAACTATTTTTTTTGGAGATGATGGTGATTGCCAACATACACTGTGATTCAACAAAGCTATTGAGACAATTATATTGCTCTAGTGGTAGATAAGATTAGATAGACGTCTTAGATGATTTAGTCATATAAAATGTTGGTTTCAATTGACCTGATTAGGAGAGTAGATATATTAAATTTGTCCAATGTTAAGAATGGTAGAGATAGCCTTAAAAAGACTTGATTAGAAAAATGTTAAAAATAATTTTTTTTATTTGATTTGAATGAAAATTTAACTCTTAATAAAGCTTAATGGAGAAAAAAGATTCATGTAGCCAACTCAACATAACAGGATAAAAACTTGAAGTTGTTGTACTGACCTTACTATTTTGTAAACAAATGTAATTTCTTTTGATCAAATGAAATTGCCCAAGCACGCCTCTTAATTTTCACAAAAACTATGATGCTCCTAATTAAGAATTGCAAAGTAATGACCATGAGACGATGACTGACCACTTTGGAGAGTAATTATATTTTCTCATGAATTTGATTGCATAACTCGCTTTGAATTTAAAATAAAATTAGGCTGTATATCAAATTAAGAGAAAATATAAAATGTACCTGCAGTAATAGGCTTACAGGAATGTATCTGATCCTCTGAATATAGAAACATCTATAGAAAATAAAGAACAATTAGTATGATAAGTAGAAAATCCAAACAAGTTTTGGAAAAGTGAGCTGCCATTCAATCTTTACTGGTGAAATACATAAAAATTTCAAACAAGAAAGAAACTGCTCCTAATCCTGATCAAAACAGTAAAATCCAACAAAGTATGACAGTAAGGCATTATAAAATTAACGCAAAAGAATGGAGAACATTGCAAGCTCCTCATGCTTCAGATGAAAGAAAAAACCTAATTGATTCTACCAAGATAGAAAGATTCAGAAATCATCATCTTCTTCCTCTGCAATATGCTTAGCCAGCTCCTGCTCCTGCTGTTGCCTCTCCCTTCTTTTCTCTGCACCCTCTTTCTCTTTGTGGGAATTGGGAGGGAACCTCAGCGCCTTAACTGCATCATTGTGCATGTTTAAGCAGAAGGCAATTCTAGAATGGAAAGCAATCTGTGGTTCATTTGTGGAGTAAATGTCGCCGGTCTCCTTCGATAACATCCATCCATTTGCGTGATCGATGGTCGCATCGATTGCACCATCCCGAATGGCTTTGGCAACAATACTCTCAGCATCTGCGACGGGGTTTTCAGAATCCAACCTCAGCTTCTTTGCTACGTCAGAAAGAGATATACGGGAGTATGAAATACTAATGTTGCGTAATCCTGTTCTTATCACATTGTGACGGAGCCTCACTATTAAATTGTTGGTCCTGTCTGAGCTAAATGTGCTTGAAAATTTCTCTGCAACTGTCTTGAACAGTTCCAGATCACCAATTCTTACAGCCTATAACCAGAGAAAAAAATCTAAGGAAGTTATAGTGTTGCTAAGATGAATGAAGATGTATGAATCAAATACAGACATTTGTGAGCTCGAAGTAGGGGCTTAAGGCCTTCTTCATTCCTTTCTGCATGAAAACAGTCCTCTCAGGAATCTCGCCAAGCAATAAACGTACTATGATTGCCCACTTGTTGCATTGGATTCTGAAGCCTCGAGCTGCGATGGGTGCCTTCCGAGCAGCTTGAAGGAGACTCTCTTTAGCATCTGTATACTCCAACTGAATGGTTCTTATCTTCCCCAGGTAGAACAAGTAGCGACAAAACTGCACAGCAAACAAAAGGTTGACAGTCTACTTTACCCGGCCGGTTGATAATATACTTAGGCTTCGTTTGGGCCAATTTTCGTATTGCTTTTTAAAACGGAGTTCTAGCATAAAATTTTTAAATTCTTGAAGTTATTTTAGAAATCAAGAAAAAAGTCGTCCCAAATGAAGCCTTAATCAAAAAACAACATTCATGCCTAAAAATATTGTTTAAGAGGTAGAAAAATCAAAATAAGAATTTTAATGGATAACTAATATTAATGACAATATATACGTGCTGCAGAAAAAAAGCCGGATTGAACAAGATTAATTGATGGCACAAGTCATTACCTGTTGATTTGAATGAGCTTCAAAACGTGGTGCCTTGGACCTCAGCTTTTCTGCTTGATCATATAAATTGTAGTAAAGGTAGTTTCGAAGAAGAAGATTCAGAAGGGTTTCCTGTCACAGAAGAAAAATAATTACCATCTTTTATGTCATTCTTTCACACGAACGTGCACAAAACAGCTAACCTGACCCAACTCATCATGCCTTAAGGTTGCCATTCTATGAAGGGCGAGGAGATTTCTGAATAGAAACAAATAAGAAGTTAGGTAAATAAAAAGTGAGAAAAAAAGAAATCTACCTTAACCACAATTTGCTCAAGTAGACGGCTAGGTTATTTTTTTGCTAATATATGGATTTATTTCACTCACCCACGAATTTCAGCAAGACTGTTTGTGAGTTCATGACTATAAGAATAATAGAAATATAGTCTAGATGACAGAACATCAACTGTCCTTCTGTTTATGTTCTTTAGGCGAGCAATGCTATTGGAAGAACAAGTTTTAGCCTGCATGAGAAGAATTTCAAAATAAAAAAGTACATCATCGAGATTTAAATGAATCTCCATTTTGAATTAGAATTAATTTTAAAATGATGAGATTTAAAGAAAAAAATTCACCTCATCATATCTTTTCTGATCAATCAAAAAAATAAGCACAAGCAAGTAACAGAATATCTCAATCTCTGGTAGAAGATGCTTAACAGAACCTTGTGCAGCTGAAGATGCAGTATCAACATCCATATCATGCTCATCTTCCTGGAGAAACAAAAAAACAATAACTCATATGTAGTTCAAAATTACTTTGCACAGCAAATGCTAGGGAAAAACAAAAACAACAGAATCCCATGATTCTTGTCGAAAACACTTTATAAGGTCAATGAATAATAAAGAATGGTTAGACATAATAAGGAATATATCAGCAGAAGTGGGCGGATTGGAAATAGATTCACACTGGAATGGTAAAATGGCATCAATTAACTTGCACAGTTTCTTCATATCGAAATAATTCATGAATCAAATTTCCTCACATTCTTCATATCAAAATAATTTATGAATCACACCATAAAACATCAATTAAAAATATGGTTGTGAGTCGTTATTGCATGATTGTAAGCTCCAGATTACAAGTACGTCTGCCTCTAACCATGGGTATAGAACAATTGGCCAGCAACAAAGAGACTGTTTCCCTTTCTCTACCAGTCTCTCCCTTGTTCCCAAACAAGCAGTGGAGGTTCTGGGTTTCTTCCAACCGAAGAGTTTCCATGCTACAGAGATTGGCTTTTGGGCAACATAGTTCTACTTTCAGTGGCAACTGGCGAAATATTAACAACGTTCACAAAGACAAATCTCATACAAATTAAAATAACATGCTAACACAAAATGCTAAAAAGGTGAAGAGGAGGAAATTGGTATACTTAAAGTTTGCATTTAGGGGCTGTATATGGATCACTAAAAATGAAGGGCTCAAATAAGTTTAATCTTAATCAATGAAACAGTAAAAACTAGAGAATACTGCCCAATACATTATTAACACTTAGCATAAAACAATATCCAACTCCTAGAAATTCAACCAAATCTTACATCTTTCCACTAGAGTTCCTTAAAAAATGGTGCCTTCAAAAGATCTACAGTAAAGATAATAGCCCTTTTCGTGCATATTCCATGTTCAGCATCAATAAAAGTGATCATAAGCAATACAACTAGCTAAACATTAAATCATAAAAAACTGTCAAATCTAAATTTGAAATTCCAAGGAATAACTGTTTCAATCAATCATGTTTAACCATAAGCGGTTTTTTCTCCTTGACACGGGATGGTTCAATGGTAGAATATCATGAGCGGTTTGAGTATCTTGCTAGCCGACTGGACCGACTTTCTGAGACTGTGCTAGAGTGGAGTTTCATGAAAGGGCTCAAACTAGATGAGGTCGCGTGACTTGGGGAAGGCTATGGAGTTAGCTCAATTGGTGGTAGATAAAAGATTCCTGGAGAGAGGGCAAGAGGCAGCAGTTTTGAGGGCTCGTATAGGATGACCACCATCTTCCTAGCACCTAAGGGGCCAACATCAGAAGGCCTACGGGAAGCCACAAAGGAGAAACCGGTAGGAGAGGGATTAGGGGGAAATTTCAAGAAGCTCACTGAGAATGAGCTGCAAAAGAAACAGGCGAAGAGATTGTGCTTCAAATGTGATAAGAGGTACACACTGAGGCATAGGTATAAGGACCAAACATTTTAGGTTGTCATCGCCTGTGATGACGAGGAATTTGAGGGAGGTGAGAGTGGGCATTTGTAGGAGAGGAGGAAGAGCTGCATCTTAACATGGTCGAAGTCTTCTTAAACTCGATGATGGGGTTCACCCCAAACCACACCATGAAAGTGAATGAAGAAATAGCAGACAAAGAGATGGTGTTGCTGATTGACAATAAGGCTACCCACAATTTTATCTCCAATCAGAACGTTGACCAACTGAGGGTGAAATTGGTGGACTCCGGGGGCAATGAGGTGATGATGGGCACTGGGAAGGTGGATAAGGGTAGAGAAGTTGTGTTGACCATGCAGGGGATTCAGGTTAGGAAGGATTTTCTCCCATTTGAGTAAGAGAGCACTGATGTCATCCTAGGGATGAAGTGACTATGGACCTTGGAAAATACCAGTGTCAATTGGTGACCATTAACGATAGAGTTGGAGATGGAATAAAGAAGAGTGGTGATCCGGGGAGATGCAGGGTTGTCCAAGGCCATGGTGTCTCTTAAAACCATAGACAGGACCATACAAGAGCTGGGAGGAGGATTTCTAGTGGAATTGTAAAGCTTAGAAAGGATCAGACGCGGGGGGTGGGGGGCCTTTTAGTACAGCTACTCATACAACAATTTAGTGAGGTCTTTCAACCACCTCAAAGCTTACCACCATCAAGGGAGCAGGAGCATGCCATCACCCTAAGGGAGGGGGAGTAACTGATTATTGTATGACCATACTATTACCCTCAAATTCAGAAAGACAAGATTGAAAAGCTGATCCAGGACACGTTGGAGGCAGGGATCATCAGACTGAGTGCGAGTCCTTTTTTTATCCCAGTCTTGTTGGTCAAGAAGAAGGATGTGAGCTCGAGATTCTACATTGATTACCAGACTTTGAATAAGGAGATTGTGCCGAACAAGTTTCCATCCCAGTGATCAATGAGCTACTAAATGAGCTGTGTGGAGCAATGATGTTCATCAAGCTGGATCTGAAGTCGGGGTACCATCAGATAAGGATGAGGGAGGAGGATGTCCAGAAGACTGCTTTCAAAACACGTAAGGGCATTACGAGTTCTTAATGATGCCATTCAGACTCACAAACGCCCCTTTCACTTTCCAATCACTCACGGATAGAGTGTTCTATATCTCCGAAAGTTCGTACTAGTTTTCTTTTATAACATAGTGGTGTACAACAAGTCGATAGGGGAGCACTTGGAGAATGTGAGGGTGAATTTGAAAGTTTTACAAGAGCATCAGCTTCGGGCCAACCTGAAGAAGTGTTGCTTTGAACAGAACATTGTAAAATACTTGGGGCAAGTGGTCTCTAAAGAGGGGGTGACTATAAATCAGGCCAAGATTGAGGCAATGCATAAATGGTCTCCACTTAGGAATCTGAGAGAGCTAAGGGGCTTTTTAGGTTTGACGGGGTACTACAGGAGATTTGTGAGAGAATACAACACCATAGCCTGGCTGTTAACTGAGCAGCTAAAGAAGCATAGCTTACTATGGGGAGAGGCAACTACCTAGGCCTTTGAGCGATTGAAGAAGACCATGACCACAGTACCAGTCTTAGCCCTATCGGATTTCAGTCAGGTTTTTATGGTAGAGACCGATGCATCATAAGAAGAGTGGTGATCCGGGGAGATGCAGGGTTGTCCAAGGCCATGGTGTCTCTTAAAACCATAGACAGGACCATACAAGAGCTGGGAGGAGGATTTCTAGTGGAATTGTAGAGCTTAGAAGGGATGAGACTGGGGAGGGGGAGTCTTTTAGTGCATCTACTCATACAACAATTTAGTGAGGTTTTTCAACCACCTCAAAGCTTACCACCATCAAGGGAGTAGGAGCTTGCCATCACTCTAAGGGAGGGGGAGTAACTGATTATTGTCTGACCATACCGTTACCCTCAAATTCAGAAAGATAAGATTGAAAAGCTGATCCGGGACATGTTGGAGGCAGGGATCATCAGACTGAGTGTGAGTCCTTTTTTTATCCCAGTCTTGTTGGTCAAGAAGAAGGATGGGAGCTCGAGATTCTACATTGATTATCAGACTTTGAATAAGGAGATTGTGCCGAACAAGTTTCCATCCAAGTGATCGATGAGCTACTGGATGAGTTGTGTGGAGCAACGATGTTCATCAAGCTGGATCTGAAGTCGGGGTACAATCAGATAAGGATGAGGGAGGAGGATGTCCAGAAGACTGCTTTCAAAACACATGAGGGTATTACGAGTTCTTAATGATGTCATTCGGACTCACAAACGCCCCTTACACTTTCCAATCACTCATGAATAGAGTGTTCAAACTATATCTCTGAAAGTTCGTACTAGTTTTCTTTGATAACATAGTGGTGTACAACAAGTCGATAGGGAGCACTTGGAGCATGTGAGGGTGAATTTGGAAGTTTTACAAGAGCATTAGCTTCGGGCCAACCTGAAGAAGTGTTGCTTTGCATAGACCAGTGTAAAATACTTGGGGCAAGTGGTCTCTAAAGAGGGGGTGGCTATAGATCAGACCAAGATTGAGGAAATACATAAATGGTCTCCACTTAGGAATTTGAGAGAGCTAAGGGGCTTTTTAGGTTTGACGGGGTACTATAAGAGATTTGTGAGAGAATACAACACCATAGCTTGGCTATTAACTGAGCAGCTAAAGAAGGATAGCTTTCTGTGGGGAGAGGCAGCTACCTAGGCCTTTGAGCGATTGAAGAAGACCATGACCACAGTACCAGTCTTAGCCCTAACGGATTTTAGTCAGGTTTTTATGGTAGAGACCGATGCATCATGGTATTGGATTAGGGGCAGTGTTCATGCAGAATCATAGGCCCATCCATCGCTTACTTCAACCAGGTATTGTCAGTTATAGAAGCCATAATCCCGCTCCTCATTGGCGAACTTGTTGCTCTGTTAAGCCACTAAAATTTTCATCATTCCATCCACAGAAAAGTCAATCCTCCCTCTCTCTTTCAATATTTTACCCCATTAGTTCTTATCTCTCTACAACAGAAGCATTGCATGGTCCGGGTAGAATTTGAATTGAAGACTTGAAATGGAGAAAGCCTGTGATAAATTAAATGAAAGCTGACAAAGGGTTTTACCATAACAGATGATTTTTTTACAGCTAAAGCATTGCATGGTCCGGATAGAAGGTGGATTGAAGACTTGAAATGGAAAAAACCTATAATAAATAAGACGTGCCCCCCTCCCTCCGCCCATGGTCATCGTGCAAGCTATTCAAAAGTGGGACCTTACTTGTTGAGCAGACATTTCATTGTCAAGATAGACCAATGGAGCTTGAAGTGCCTATTAGAGTAGAGGATGGTGACCGAAGAGCATCAGAGGCAGCTGTTAAAGCTGTTAGGCTATGACTTTGAGATTGATTATAAGCCCGGATAAGAGAATAAGGCTGCGAATGTCTTGTCTAGATGAATGGGAGAGCTCCAAGAATTAGCTATGTCAATACCCTTAATGCTGGATTGGGGGCCATTAAAGAGGAGAGTGTGCAGGATGAGGAGTTGGGAC